CAAAACAAATTAAGTATTTCATCAGCTTCTTTATTCAGTTTTTGCAGCAATCATTAACAGGAAACCTAAAGCTAAGGAGTTGCCACAATACTGTTAGAAGACTTGCTTATTACACGCGATTTCAGAAATTATAGTTCAAATATCCCACCGCTCTCACTTGCCTCCTTCAATTGGCTCACCGCTCATGCCAACCTAACTAGGTGGCTTCAAGAAAAATTTATACGGAGTAATTATTTTCTCTTGAAGCTTTAAAAGTTTTCCTTAATTGTATTGACGGAAATAAATTAATTTTTTCATAAAAATATAAAAAAATCTCAGAGGAACAGAAGAAATACAAAATATAAGAAATATAAGAGAATACGTAAAGGCTTAAATGAGGTTAAATCGTATGTAAGGATTTGAATGAGGCTTAAACACTCAGATCAACGTTAATACTAAAAAGAGCACATGTTAATATTATAAGAAAAGAAATTCAAAGTTAATACTAAAAAGAGCACATGTTATTATTACAAGAAAAAAAATTAAATAAAATCATTACATATTATATGCCAAGACATATGCGTGTAAATAAAGTCAAATCCGATGATTAGAGTGTATCACATCTCCTAAGTTACAACCATGAAGTCAAATCCAATAATTAGAGCCTATCATATCTCCTAAGTTACATCCATGACTCTAGACTACCATATGTCTGCTAACATAAACAATTATCAAGTATATATAAAAATAAAAATAAAAAAATACTTCATCATATTTAAATTTTAATCTGTTCAAATCACTAAAATCATTTTGCCTTAATTATAATAGAATCTTTAGTCTTGAATATAGATTTGAACCATAGGATATGATTCAAATATGTAGCTGAAATTTGGAAAAGTTCAGATCCAACGCGTTGATAGCCCCCAATGCTAAATGAGTTTTTGGTCACTTCAATGATGAAATAGGGCGTAATCTAGTTGTTTCATTTTTTAATCTTAATGAGAGATTCCTATCATGTTTGGATAGGCCTGCAAAAGATGGAACAATCTAGTGTTCCACCCATCCATAAGATAACGATACAAGCTTGGTCACATTTTGTAGTCAATTAATTATTAAGTTTCACTTAATTCAACTTGATAAGTTGTTACCCAAATGTATATAAAAAGAAAAAAGATTAAACTACTCAAGTTAGAAGGAGATCAATATTGTTATAATATTGTCAAAGACTCAACTTTTCACATAAAACTGCATATATCTACTTCAGATATTGAGTTACTTGACAATGAAGTTGTTTGAGTTATCAAGTTATGGAGTACCTATCGTAAATTTGAATCAATTGAAAAAAAAAAAAAAAAAAAAAAAAAAAAAAAAAAGGGAAGAGAAACAAAGCAGAAGTACCTACCCAAAGTAAAAATTAGAACCGATAGACCCATGCCTAACTACATTGACAGAAAGCAACATTTGTCCCCCAAATAAACATGTTGAACATCAAACTTAATGTGCAATGTGAATGGCTCTGATGGAATGGCACTGTTGCTTATATGGATTATAGAAGGACGTGGCACACATGCATTTCCAACCCTCAGGCTCATAACTGAAGGGAATGCAAAGACAAAAGTCTTACTTTCACGACTTCAACAAAGCAGTCCTTTTTAAACACTAAATTCTTGATTTGCTTCTTTTTGAAATGTTAATCAAGAATGGTTGGAGCAGTTAATCCACAAAGAGAAAATAACAAATAGTGAAATTAGAAGCCTACGTATACATCTAGCACATAATAGAGAGAAGCATTTTGCTTCCATCTACAATCTTACAATGTCATCAAAAGAAAGAGGAATTATGATCAAACTTCACATTATAGAATTAGTGCAATAAAGATATGAAATCTCCAAAATTCATAGCAATCCATATCTGACTTTAGGGTGTGTGGGACACAAAGTGATTTATGTGCAGAAGTGAGGAACCTTTTGTGAGGGACAATTGATAAAGGGACAATTGTGTGAGAATTGTGAGAGTCTTAATTGTTGAGAATTTTGTGCCTACATGAGAGAGAGAGAGAGAGAGAGAGAGAGAGTTGGGAGTTCAAGAGGAAGATCTCCATTGTAATCCTTCATACTTCCATAATGAAATTTTGTTCGGTGCACTCCAAGGGAGTAACCTTAAGTTTTGGGTGGACCGCATATATTTTGTGCTCTTATGATTGTTTCCTTTTAATTGTTTGAGTTTATTCCATGGATAAAATTATGTTGTTTGTTTGCTTCCACACCAACAACTAGTATCAAAGCATCTGGTTGTTTCCCTCTCACAACCATAATCACAAAGAACATAGGTATCAACTTCCGCCACATTTAATGTTTTCACCATTCTTCCACTTCCTAGTCAAGATGGTTGCCTCCACAAGCGGGCATGGTTAAATGTAATGGGCATGGTTAAATGTAATGTGGATGTGTCATTCGCTATTTCATCACATTCATCACGTGTTGGGGGTGGTGGTGCTGTTTTTCGCGATTCTAGGAGGAATATTTTGCAAGCCGTGGTTTTTAGTCCTTTCCATGTCGATCGTGGAACTTCTGCGGAGGCCATCTGTCTTATAAGGGGCAGTTTTTTGGGCGATGAGATTTTCCTTTGACCAGGTATGGTTTGAATGTGATTCTTTGATTGTTGTTAAGGCGGTTTCTGAAGTTGATCCTGCTCCAGTTGAAATCTAAGTCCTCTTTTATGATATTCAAGTGGCGCTTCGGAGCTTCTCATCCTCACGTATTAGCCACATTCATAGGCATGGTAATGAAGTTGCAAATGCCCTTGCGAAGCTTTCTAGAAGTCATCTAGCACAGGATACCACTCTTGTTCATATTCCTGTTAATATACTTAATCTGGCGGCTACAAATTGTTTGTTTTAATCCGTTCTATTTGTGTTTGCAAAGTCGAAAAAAAAAAAAAAAAAAATTTATCCTCGCAATAAAAACAGTCATACGACATCTACAAAGAGCATCTACAAAGAGCGTCAAAAATGGCCGTATAACAACAAACAAATCATAAAGCAAAAGAATAAAATTGAAGAACGGGCTCCAGATTTACTGAGAAAATAACTCACCAGCGAAACCACCAAGGGAGGAAAGCAGCAACGGGAGTGACCCACAGGTCAGGCCATCGGCAAGGCAACTGTTCTAAGGCTGCATCCACAAGGCGTCGCCGACGGGGAAGAAACCTCCCAACCCAGCACAAGAAGAGGGACAACAAAACCCACACAGAGGCGGGAACCACAAAATCCACATAGAGGCGGGACCCGACATAGATCGGAGATCTAGCCGGAAAACCAAAAACAGATCTACTGCGTCAAGTCAGAAACAAGCCTAACATGAGCAAATCTAACAAAATAAACGGCGTAAAAAATCCACCCACCGAGCGACTATGTATAACACGCCGAGTTTATTATACGGTAGGAGGTAAGCATCGATACCTCCCCACCCCCATGAGAGGGGGTGGTAGGCAAAACAGAGGGAAGAACGAAGGGGCGACTGGTTTAGAGAGTGGTGAGAGAAAAGGGTGTAGAGAGAGAAAGGGGGCGACCTTCACGCAACCCCCAAGTTCAGAAGCGATAGGGAGTACCATAATTAAAAACGTGTGTAAAACCGTGGTTTGCCAAACTGGCCTATTCAAAACGGATTTGGTAGGGTCCGATATCGGTTCTGATCAGTATGGTAGGAAGCAATCCAATTTGCAAGTGAACTGGGCTAAATCAACCGGTTCTCTAGAGAAATAGGCCGAATTGGTTGTATTCCTCGAACCAGCCTGAACCAAACTATCTAACTAGCAAGGGAAGCGTGGTGTGTGTTAGTCAAAAAAGAGGATAAAACCAATAATATTTGGAACATAACTGCTCAACCAACTCAACATCATATCATAGTGATATACTGTGTACAAACGACTCCAAAATAAAATAAATAAATAAATAAAAACAACAAATATAGATTATCAGCATGTTATGTTTCATAACTTGTTTTATTATTTTTTTTTTTTCTCTCACATGTTACATATATATGGTATGAATGTTCATTTATTTAACAATGAAATCTATTATTTTTCATTAATTTACTAAAATATATATATATATATATATATATATATATATATATATATATATATATATATAATTAGAACTGCAACTTAAAGATTATAAATAGGTTATTAATTGTGCTAAATGGTCTTCAAATATTCAATAAAAATCAGTCAAATCACTAAAAATTTATCTTTATAGGATTAAAGGATGTGAATAGGTGCCTTTTGGACTCTACATGCGAGAGATCAAACAAAATTTTCAACCATGATAACCGATTTCATTACACAACCTCAATATAAGTTCAATTTCATCACACCGTGACCGCTGTGGTAGCTGTAACTGTAAACCTAAAAGGCTACTTCTCAGCCCTAATAAATAGCTTATTTTGCAAAAATGTAAGGCATTACAAAATTAAGAAAGAAACAAAAATTATTAGGAACATTTTTTTTTTTTTGTCATTTCAACAATGCAAGGCATTTATTTTTCCCTTTGCTCATAATTTGAATTTGTTATACAGAATATTAGTTTTCTATGTTATTTGCAAGTTAATGTGGGAGTTCTGTTTACAACTTTATTGAAATGATATAAATTATCAAAATTTTCTTAGTATTAAATATATATTTTCCTCTTTAAGGTATGAACGATATATAGAATCTTGGATAAAGGCAGTGTTTATATACTACACTTCTACAAAATAGATACAAATTATCTAATATGATGATGATTTATCAAACCATAGATTTAAACGAAATAAAGGGCATAAATAATTTCACAATCAACAAGGTTTTCTTTTGCAAAAGAACCACGAATTTATTATAGCAACACCAGAGATAATATACGACCTCTTATCACCGGAGTCATAGTTTAACAAAATACATAACTAATCCAAACTTTCACACTTAGCACACAAGAAAACGTGAAAATTACTTGAATTCACACACAGACACAAGTTTGTGTTGCCTTAACTACTTTCACCAAACTTTAAGGACAACATTGAGCATCTATTATTGTAACTGCATTGAATACAAATGCAGTTAAATTATAAATGATTAAAAGACTAGTAAAAAATAGGTGACTCGTGATCATTGTCTAAATTTTATCCTCACTTGTCGAGATATGCTCCAATTGAAGAGAGGTACTTATTAGACCTTTCATAGAATCCAATGATCTTGCCACAAGTTGATGAGGATTGAAATTTCTCTCCACTCTCCACGCCAAACGGTCCAATCATTCTTTTGTTGCTTTGAAATCCAAGCGACCGGATAACAACCATGTCACTTACTTGTCCATAGTAGCCCCAAAATGAAAGCAAAAATTCATCCGGGTAGTCTAATGTGACCTACATAAGTAATATAAGGGTAAGTATGCATGGCATTCATAGTTGCATAAATGAAAGTTTGAGTATTAAAATCTTCAAGAAAAAAGAGGAAATTTTGTTATTATTGTAATGTATTAAATGAAAAATTAGAACTAACCTTGTTTTCTTGTCCGCCCACAGTACCATGCTTTTCTCCCAATACTCTTTCTCCTTCATTATCATAGACAATTTGGATGCAATCAATTACCATTCCGGAATGTATGATTAATTCCCTTACTGTGCTGTAAGTTCCGTCATCCCACTGTTGTCCACCACTAGTTCCAAATGGACCAACAGGTATTTTAGTTTGGAATGGAATAATGTATGCTCCAATTGCATCCAAATAACTACCCTGCCTTCCATAGAATCCAACAATCTTAACCCCAGTTAATGGGGTCATAAAACGACCTCCATCTTCTGTACCATATGGTCCATATTGCCTGGCATTGCTATGTATTGTGAGAGATTTCACACAATAACTTCCATCAAGGTACCCAGTACATCCTGATATTGAGACGAGGTACTCAATAGGATAGTTTAATTCCACCTATAAAATTTTTAACAAGGATAAACTTGGATATTATGACAAACATTAAAAAATCATAAACATAATAAAAAAGACTTAAAAATGTAAAGTTTATAGTGAAGATCGGAAAAATGATTTCAATATGCAGAAAAAAATAAAAATAAAAATAAAAATAAAAATAAAAATAATAACCCGGCTATTACAAGTTTTCAAGCCAGAAGAAACAAAAAAACCGCTATTACAAGTTTTCAAGCCTACAATCATTTGTCACTCTCATACTCTCTATTTCAGACTTTTTAGTGTTTTCTCATACCACACTTCAAAACCTGGTTACAAAACATTTTTCTACGGGGCAAAGCTAATAATTAGATCAAGATCAAGTCACAACATGCGTGACCAGACAAACAAAAGTTGGGTCACAATTTTACAGGTTTGTATATATGCTCATAATGTGGATATATGCAATGACGGAGTTTGAATTTCTTTTTACTTGATAAAAAAATTAAAGTAAAAATAAAAATTATCAACAAACATAGAAAATATCAAATTGTTCAAATAAAAAGGCAAACAAAAATAAAATAAAATCTTATAGAGAGAGAGAAATGAAGGATGGCGGGTTTAATTTTCAAATCTATGCACATGCGTGATACTGTAAAGACGATTCTGGGTGCATCATTGAGGATGAATCTCGATTATGTATTCATGATGATGGTGTTGTTGAGAAAAGAAGAATTTTAAGAATACATACATCATGTATTAATGAAAAAAAAAAAAAAATTTAAGAAGAAATATAAATAAATAAATAAACAAAATAGAAAACTTTGAAAGAAAACAAATTAAGAATTGACTAAATAAGGAGATCTTTTTCTAAGCGAATTAAAGGAAACCAAAAAGTAAAATAGAAAGGGAAAAAAAAATGACAAATAGCAACTGAAAATTTTAGAGGGGTCGTTATTTATATTTTTTATAATATACATACATCAAAAAATTATATATATATATATTGGAGAGGACCGGACAGGGTGCATGGCCCTTTAGGCTATGTTGGCTCGCGTATGTTTACATAATATGATTTGGATCTAATGTGGCTTAATTATTAAATTTGCTTAGATTGTTTTACTCTTAAGTTTAATTTCCTTTCCTTTTTATTCTCTCTTTTTTCTTGAGATGGTTATGTTGCCTAACTAGCTACGTGACAAATATGGAATCAAATAAATCTGTACATATGTTACAAATTTGAAAATCAAATTACATATATATTACCTGGTATGTTTGTGCAGTCTTTAATTTAGTATCATGCCCACTCTGTGACGATGGTGGTATTGGCGCCTTTTTCGATACCGGCTTTCCTTTATCATCATACACAATTATGATACCAAAAATTACTTCTTTGGCGTATATAGTTAATTTTCTTATCGTATCGTAACTTCGTGATCCCAATTAAGTTCTGGTCTACCAAATGCACCATATTTAACCATCTCCCCATTCGCCATGGAGTCCTTGAAACTCTAGATAAGTGTAGCACTTCAAGTTTGCAAGAGAGAGTAATTAGATCAAAAGCGAATATACATATGTACACAGCTCAAGTATTGCATGGTTGGAGAAGTAATTCTCTTTTTCTATTGATACGTAAGTAGTGATTATGAACAATTTTTATATTTTTTACTCTATCTCTGGCTATAAAATTGCTGCAGATGTGTAACTTTTTGAGATTAATAGGAAAAAAAAAAAAAAAAATATGTTGCACAGATGTAAGAGCCAAAAATATGGAAAGAACTTTTTTTTTTTTTTTTTCTCTGTAAATAAAGATGGAAAATACTTACATACCAAAAAAGAAGAACTTGAACAGACAAACAGTGGAAAACTCGGAGAAAGAGCTACTAGGCAAGGATGGAACAGTTGTCTTGAAATAAAAGAGAGATGGCATGGGTATATATAGCCAATGGAATCGTAAGCAATTTCATTTTTCATTATTATTTTATTTCATTAAAAAAAAAACCCACGTGGGCTAAGTGATCCAAAACCACTATAATAAGGGCGGAGCTAGAGCCTCGGAAATTTTTCCAAATTTATGTCTCCAATAAAAAAGGTGCATGTTATACTTTAATCATATATGACAAATATATGTGACTTTAATTAGTTTCATTGACAAGGGCAATTTCAAGAAATTAATTTAAAATTTATTTAATTGTGACTTTTAAACTATTTCAATCTTACACAATTTTACGATTGCAGTAAAATATGAAAATAAAAATCTATACATGTAATCAACGGTCAATGTCACAGCAATATCAGTCTCTTACGTCTTAAAAGGAGGTTAGGAGGTCTCAAAAGAGACATGTGTGTATGAGTACAAACAAAAAAAAAAAAAAAATTACATATATATATATATAGCACATGATAAATTGAAGGCATGTTTGATCGATCAATGCTGATTGATTAAGCAACCAACAACTTTCAACAACCTTTGTATTAATAAACAAAGCATCAATTATTTGCACTGTGTTTCGGAGGAGGATCTTATGTTTTTCAGTCCAACAAATCTTACCAATACCAACTTGTAATATTAAAAAGAGAATACCCTCTTATGTGATGGTTAAAAAGTATGGATACTTCTATATATTAAGTTGCTGTTACATATTAAATACTCGGACATTTCTAAGATAATTTACGGCTAGTAGTATTCAGTAAATATTTTAACCAACGAGCGTGAATCATAGCTATTCAATACCTATGCTAAGAATATTTTAAACCACGAGCTTGAATCATGTACAAAATGATTCTTATTTTAAACCACGAGCTTGAATATTTTAGTGATGAATGCTTGGTTTATATAACATAACCAATGCCCGGCGCTTCATCCAAATGTCGATGACTTACTACAAAATTTCAATAATGATCTTAATGTTTATTAACATAATTGTTAGGTGCAGCATCTTCATGCAAATGATATTTTCACTGTTACGAAATCATAATTGAGTAGGAGTTTATGAGAATAAGAGAAAAAATGAATGATAAGAAAAAAAAATAGCGCACACACAAACGAAACAAGAATTTAAGAGGTTCGGATGTGCTTACGTCCACGGGGAGAAGACAAATCAATATTTCACTATAAAAATAAAGAGATACAAAGCTAAGTGGCTCACACCCAAAATCCAATTACACCCAAGACTCTCACACACTTTGCTTTTCTTGATATTGAGCAAACACACTCAAATTTTTGGATGCCTTAAACCAAGAGGAGTCAAGGCTATTTATAGCCAAAATGGGTTATCAATGAATGCTTGCTGAAGCTGCTTCAACTTGGTGTCCACGAAATTCTTGGTGACCAAGAATAATGCTTGATAAACATATATATTTGGAGGCCAAGTTGATGATGCAAGAAATGATGTAAATGGGTGATGTAAATGCTGACCTCAGATTTGAGCCACAAAAGTCAGCAAATCTCCACTTTGGCGAAAATTCAAATGAGCCACTGTATCTCTACAAAACAAACTGTCTTCTCTACAAAACCCCAAAGGCAATTTCAACATTTGAGAATGCCAAGTCTAAGCAATGCTTGAACTTGAGAGCCAGAATGGACTTTGTCATCATATCCGCCAATTTTTCAACTGTGCCAATTTTCTTCAAAGTAGTAATTCATTCTAGTATGACATCCCGAATAAAATGATATCTGACATCAATGTGTTTGGTTCTCTCGTGATATATTTGATTTTTAGTCAAATATATCGCACTTTGACTATCAGAATAAAATAACAGTTAAGCTCTACTGCAAACTCAAATCACTAACCAAACCTCTCAACCAAATGGCTTCCTTCACTGCTTCAGTGGCTGTTATATATTCTGCTTCCGTAGTAGAGAGAGCAAGTGTAGATTGCAAAGTTGTTTTCCAACTAACTGCCCAACCTGAGAGAGTAAAGACGTATCCTGTCAGAGATCTTCTTCTGTCTAAATCACCAGCGTAGTCGGAGTCCAAAAAACCAACAACATTACCAAAATCATCACTGTTCTTCTGATAAACTAAGCCAATATCTGCAGTACCTTTCAAATACCGAAGAATCCACTTCACGGCTAGCCAATGTTCTTTTCCTGGATTATCCATATATCTATTAACTACATAGACTGCATGTGAAATATCAGGGCGAATGCAAACCATTGCATACATTAAGTTACCAACTACACTAGCATAAGGAACACGTGACATGTGCTCCTTTTTTTTTTCGAACTGCGGTGATAAAGCTGCAAAAAGACAAAATGAGCAGCAAGTGGTGTGCTCACAGGTTTGGAATTCTGCATGTTGAACTGCTCAAGCACTTTCTCAATATAACTCTTCTGTGACAAACTCAACCTGCCAACTTGGCGATCCCTCTGAATTTTCATGCCCAAAATCTTCTTCGTTGCACCGAGATCTTTTATCTCAAATTCAGTATTCAACTAAGATTTTAACTTGTTGATTTTTGACATGTCTTTACAGCAATAAGCATGTCATCAATATATAACAACAAGTATACAAAAGAACCATCTAAGAGCTTCCGATAGTAGACACAAGTGTCATAGCTACTTCTCAAGTAGCCATATCTAACCATAAAAGTGTCGAACCTCTTGTACCATTGCCTTGGAGATTGCTTCAATCCATATAAGGATTTCTTCAACAAGCAAGCATATAAATTTCTTCTTCAAGCTTACCATGTAGAAAAGTTGTTTTGACATCAAGTTGCTTAAGCTCCAAGCCAAATAGAACAACCATGGCAAGCAACAAGCGGATAGAGGTATGTTTCACAATTGGTGAGAATACTTCATTGAAATCAACACCTTCTCTCTGACTATAACCCTTTGCCACCAAACGTGCTTTGTACCTTGCATCCTTAACACCTGGAGTTCCTTCCTTTTTCTTGAAGACCCATTTGCAACGAACAATCTTCTGGCCTTTAGGAGGTTTCACCAACTCCCATGTTTGATTCTTGTGAAGAAATTCAATCTCCTCAGTTATAGCAACAGTCTACATAGCAGATTAATTTCCTGTAACAGCTTCTTGGTTGGTGGAGGGTTCTTTATCTTCAATATTTTCTGCCACAAACAAAGTAGAGGTAACTAAATCTGCATAAGCATACCTCTGTGGTGATTTAATTTGCCTTTATAGTCTCCCTGCAGTAATACTGTACTGTTGTTTATCTGGTACTTGATCATCTTACACCTCTTTAACATTGGGCTGAACTAGAGTGTTGACTTGTTTCTCTGGAGTTTTAAAGTCATGCTCCACCTGCTGCTTAATACCTTGAGATTCACTTGTAACAAAAGACTCCTTTCTCGGGTGAAGTAAAGCAAACTCATCAAAAGTAACATCTCTGCTGGTAATAAACTAAGGTGATTAGGATCACGACACCACAACACCTTTATCCCTTCACCCCAGATGCATAGCCAATAAAAATACATTTCTTGGCTCTAGGCTCAAGTTTTCCTTTATTAACATGAGCATAAGCAAGACATCCAAAAACTTTTAAATTAGAATAATCAGTAGGAGTACCAACCATACCTCTTTAGGTGTTTTGCACTCAATAGTAGTCGATGGTGACCTGTTCACCAGATAGCAAGCTATGTTGACTACTTCAGCCCAAAATCCCTTAGACAGCATTGAAAAGTATACAACGAGCTCTTTCCAAGAGAGTTCTATTCATGCCTTCTACTACACCATTCTATTATGGAGTCTTTCAAACTGTATGTTGTCTAACAATATCTTTATTACTGCAGAACTCACCAAACTCTACTGAGCAAAATTCTAAACCGTTATCTGTTCTAAGACGCTTGATCTTTTTTCCAGTCTGCTTTTCGGGCCTTCCACTACTTAAACTTAAGGACCACTTTATGTTTTTGCTTCAAGATATAGATCTAGACTTTCCTGGAGAAGTCATCAATGAAAGTTAACATATATCGAGAACCACTAAGAGAGGGAACTCTGGAAAGGCCCCAGAGATCTGAATGAATGTAATCAACAGTGCCCTTGGTCTTGTGAACAGCTGTACTGAACTTGAGTCTTTTCTGTTTGCCAAAGACACAATGCTGACAAAAATTCAGCTTTCCCGTCTTCTGTCCACCTAGAAAATCTCGTTTACTCAATTATGTCAAACCCTTCTCACTCATATGCCCTAAACATATATGTCGTAGATGGGTAGTTTCTGAATCTTAATCAACTGAAAAAGATATTGAAGCATCACTTGTCACAGTACTACCCTGCAAAAAATAAAGGCATTTTTTCTATTTTCCCTTAAGCATAATAAGAGCACCTTTAGAAACACTCAGAACTCTACCTTTAGCTGAAAACTTGCAACCATTAGAATCAAGAGTACCAAGAGAAATCAAATTCTTTTTCAAATCTGGAACATGCCGAACATCAGTTAAAGTTCTAACAATACCATCGTATATCTTAATTTGGATTGTGCCTATAGCAACAGTCCTACATGGATTGTCGTTCCCCATTAAGACAGTACCACCATCA